TTAGCTTTATTCCTAAATAGGGAAGAGTAACCGGTTGCCATTTAAATGGGAAAGAGTTTTGGATGGCCCGGACCATTCTCTCATCCAGGGAGATGTTTATCGCTTGGGATTTGTGGTGATTAATGCAAACCCCAGATAAAGGAGTTCAGGACGATATAAAGGTTAGGAATAGAGGTAATTGGGGAGGAAAGGAGCAGCAACATATCATCTGCGAATAACGCATACTTGTGTGTCAGTCCCCCACAGGGGATACCCTGGATATCAATATTTTCGCCAAAGGTTCTACTGCTAAAATGAACAGCAAGGGAGGCAGGGGGCATCCCTGACAAGTTCCTCTGCTTATTAGTAAACGAGGGGAGCTGTAACCCTTTATCTGGAGATCTGCTGAAGGACTATTATAGAGTGAGCCTAGCAAAGTCAACAATTTGGAACCGAATCTGAATTTTTGTAGGACATAAAAAAGGTAATCCCAAGACAGGGAATCAAAAGCTTTTTGTAAGTCTAAAGACAGGAGCATACCTTTTCTCTGGCTTTGTTTATCCCAATCAGAATAAATAGCTGAAATGATATCTATGAGTCTCCTCGTTTGGTCCGGGGCCTGTCTGCCAAGTACAAACCCTACTTAGTCTGGGTGTTTATAGGGGGATGGAAACTTATTCATCGGTTCACCAAGACCTTTGTCATGATCTTCAAATCTACATTAATTAACAATATCGGACGGTAATTTGAACAGTCTCCATGGTCCTTGCCCGGTTTGGGAATTACATGTATTATCGTGTGATTCTCATGTGGCAGTAACTGGGTCCCTTTCTGCAGTTCATTGAAGTATGAACGGAGGTGAGGAATCAGAATATCCACAAACTTTCTATAATAAATCCCTGAAAATCCATCTGCGTCCAGAGCTTTTGTTGGGTTTAAGGATTTAATTGCTGCTGAAATTTCAGCGTCTGTAAAATCCGTCGGTTCTTTGTGTGCCCGGTTCAAGCTAGATAGTGGAAGGTTCTGAAAGAATATATCAGCTAAGAGGGTTGAAAACTATCCTGGCCTAGCATACAATTTTTCATAAAATTAAAAAAATTCCTGGATAATGACTTGGGGGTTCTGAGTCTGGGTCCCAGTACATGTACGCAATTTAGACACGGCCGGATTAAACCGTTTCGGGGTCAGTTTGCGAGCCAGCAGAGTGTCCGGTTTGTCCCCCAAATAATATTTATGTCTGGACCAGCACATGCATTTTTCGGCTTTGGTCGTCAAACTAATGTTCAGGGTCAGGCGAGCTGAGTCAATTTGCTGTTGAAGGTCAATATGGGGATTAAGATTTTGGATTCGTAACAGGTCATTAAGCTTCTCTTCTTGCTGTTTGATTACCTGATCTCTGGCTCGTTTCACCCTAGAAGCCAACTGAATAAATTTTCCCCTGATGGTTGCTTTATGAGTAGCCCAGACCACTGCCGCAGACGGGTGTCTTATCTTGAAAAAATAAGCGGGGTTCTGTCTCTAAGTCGGCACATAAAGTCGGATCAGTGAGCAGGGACGTATAAAGTCTCCAGGGCGGGGGTTGGGGTCTAGGCCACAGATCATTAATTGTCATAAAGACCGGGGAATGATCCGATCTGGGGAGGTTAGCATAAATTTTCGGATTTGACACAAATGGGAGGAGTGAAGAATTCTTAAAGAGATGATCAATTCTGGAATAGGATTTATGGACATGAGAGAAGTAGGTGTAAGCTCTGACTGAGGGACTACAGTTTCTGCATACATCTATAAGGTCATGCTGATGCAGTAGTTTAGCCAAGGAGCAACCCTGTTTAGGGACATGTTTCAAAGAGGTTTTATTAGGATTCGACTTATCCAGTATTTGGTCCAGGGATCTGTTGCTGTCTCCTCCGATCACCAAGTGACTCTCCACGTGCGGCAGGATAATGTCTACCAGAGAACGGAAGAAGGCTAACTGACCAGTATTAGGGGCATAATAAGATACAAAAGAAACTTTCATGTCATTGATCCATCCTGCTCCCAATATAAATCTGCCCTTCTTATCCCTTATGACCACCTGTGGGGTGAATGAGATTACTTTAGCGAAACATATCGCCACCCCTCGTTTCTTCTTCTGACTTGTGGCTAAATAAAATGTTGGATAATTCGAAAGGAGAAATTTGGGAATAGAAGATTTAGAAAAATGTGTTTCCTGAAGGAGGAGGATATTCGAGCCCATCTTCTTGTTGTAGTGGAAGGCCTTATTTCTTTTTAGAGGGGAGGTAAATCCTTGTACATTATGTGTTACTACCGTGTAGTGAGGAGGGCGGGAGGTAGCAATGGTTTGTGGGCAGACAGCACTCGCTGATGAAGGGCAAACTTTGTGTAATGTTGTATAGGTTGGAGTAAATTAGAAGCCTTGGGTATCTCAAGAATCAGTGAAACTCGCTGTATAGGACAGAAGAAAATTTGGAATTGGGATAATAATCCTAATAACAGTCGTGGAGTTGCCTTCCTCACCAGAAGTAGAGGCAAATACACAAAGGGTGGCACGCCGGCACATGTCTATCAGTTATATAAGCGTTCGGAGATAGGGGACCGCTAACCAAAGGCTGAGACCCATGTTAATAAGTAGACTTGTCACCCTCCAGAGGTCAGGACCGTGGGGGGGACAATCTATCTACAATCAAGCAATGGTGCAAAGAGGGTCATGAAAGATGGACTTATGTTAGGTAGCAAGAAGGCGGCATCAAACATTAGAACTCTATCTTATCCTGTAACTCAGACATGACAATAATACACAACAATGACCAAAGTCCCTGGAACATATGAAGGCAATGGGCGGTCCAGATAGTCTGCCCTCCCAACCGGGATTTCCAGGACTGGCGTATGAGAAAGAAGTTGCTATAAACCACTAATAGAAAAAGAGATAGGACGCTGCTCACAGCGGCTTGATTGTTGAGACCTACTCAGTGAGAGTGGGCGATCATCCTGACGTCGTTTCCGGGATACTGTAGGTTCCAAGGAAATCAAGCCTAAATCTTAGAGAGTTTCTTCACCCGATTGAAAATTGGTGAACGAGTAGGTTTTGCCCTTATGATCGAAGGCTAAGCAAAAAGGAAATTGCCATCGATATTTTATATTTTGGTTGAGTAGGTGCATAAGCAATGGCTTGAGGGAATGTAGTTTCTGAACCATGGATGGAGTCAGGTCCACAAAAAGCTGGATGGGGTGGCCTCACAGAATTAGGTCTGGGGAAGCCCTCACAGTTGCCATCATCAGTTCCTTTATACGGTAGTAGTGTAGTTTCATGATGACGTCTCTAGGCAGACCATCTTGCCTTGAGGCTATAGGTGCTGGATGAATATGGTCTATTTCCAGCTGATGTTCGAAAATGTCAGGGATAAGTTCTCTCATCAGTTGGTGAGCTGCGGCTTCCAAATCCTTAATATCTTCATGTACAGTATTCTCATATTATATCGTCTAGATCTATTTTCCAAGTCTTCTATCTTAGTATGTGCGTCATCCATTTGTTTTTGGAGGTCTGAGATCATTTTCGAGACTGTTCCATCCATTTTGGATTCTATTGTGTGTCCAGCCTTTCACTAATGGACTTTAAATCCCCCTTTAAGTCAGTTGTGATCAGGGTGCACGCTTTAGTGAGTTCTCGCTGTAGTAAGGCTGAGAATCTTGCAATGAGAACCATATCACCCGAATAGAAAGCTGAGGGAGCTGTTATCAGCTCAGGGGAAGAGTCCAGTTGACTAAGGGCTGATTCCGCCAGTCCCACCATCTCCACCATATAGTGGTCAGTGGTTGAGACATAGCTCCCCCTGGGATAGGGCTGTGAAGGGGGAGCTCATAGAATGCTCACCTGGTGGTGTGGAGGGGGAACCATCAAGCTGTGAGGGGGAGCCCTGATCTTCTGCACCCGCTGACATAGACCTCGCAGGATCATATGGCGTCCTCTCTGTACAGTAAGGTAGGAGGTGTCCTAGTCCCATGTGCCTTAATGGCTTGGTGGGCCGCGGTCACTGTCTCCCGCGCCATCTTGGCTGGAGAAGAGATAGGCTGGGAGCAGCAGGACTGACGGGGCGACGTAGCCGGTGGTCCGGGCTTCTTCTTCACTATTCCCGTCATCCACTGGTGCATGGTAGCTTCTGGCTTCGGCTAGATTGCACAGTCACTGTCCCTGGGTCTCCAAAAGGCTAGTTTTGAGCTATGATATTCCGGTGTGTTGCGGAGCTCAGTCACAGCATGTCCGTCTGCATGTGCACTGCTATCGAATATTTTTACAATAAAACATGATGTTGTGAAATCAATAAAAAAAATTGTATTTTCCTCAGAAGAAATAATCTTTATCAAAGTGATTGATACTGTACGAAGCAAGTGTAAGGACAGTGTGAGCCCATATGCCACACAGTGTTGTAGATAACAATTAGAAATCTGTCTCGCAGTAATGTGACAAATTGCACAATTTATGACAAAGTCATGTACAGTATGTGCCTATAGGAATCTGACACTGAAGTCACTAAAGTATGTCGAAATAATTTTTTTGCAGAATGTTCTTAAAGATGCAACATGGTACTTACACATTTTACTCCAATGTGGAAAACGTTTTTTTTAACTTCACTTTCCTTATCACCAATATGGTGGTATTTCTGTATGAATTTGTCATAACAAGAGCGACAGAAAGTAAAAGAGTTCCAAATAACTACATAAATTTGTTGCATGCATCAGAACTAATAATGAAAAATGTAACAACGATTTCATGAATTTGGCTACATCCACACCACCTGAAATGTGTCACAAACGTCGTATTGAATTGCCCCCAGTGTTTGTGATGAGTTGTTCAACAGCTTCCCAAGCGCCCTATAGCAGAAGTACTGCTACAGCGCAGCAGGGATGCGCAAAATCACATGTGTATATACATGATTTTGTATTTCCAGGTAGGGGACGCTCATGCACGCTCCCTACCCACGCCATTATTGGCTCCTCAGCATGTCAATCACCGATTCTGGGTGATCGTCGGTGGAGCTGACGGGAGAGGTCTGTATGTAAACAATACAGATCTCTCCCCTGTCAGCATTAACAAGCTGTTATGTATTGCTCTGCGCAGCAGAGCAATGCAAAGCAGCTTGTTTCCCTAGTGAAACACACATAGCACACAGTTAACCCTTTGATCAGCCCAGATGTTAACCCCTTCCTGCCCAGTGTCATTAGTACAGTGTCAGTGCTTTTTATTAGCACTGATCACTGTGTTAGTGTCACTGGGTTTGTCAGTGGCAGTTAGTCAGTCCCCCCCAGTGTCAGAATGCCCACCGCAGTCCCACAGTCCAGCAGTAAGTCGCTGATCGCCACCATTACTAGTAAAATACAAATAAAAATTCCAGTATATATACCACTATTTGTAAACACTATAACTTTCACTTAAACCAATTAATTTACATGTATTGGTATATGTTTCTAGTAAAGACATGTAGCAGAATACATGTTGGCCTAAACTTTATAACGAAATTTAATTTTTGTGGGTGTCATATGACATCCTTCCCAGATTGCGCCTTGCGCTGAGTCCTTCCCGGATTGCGCGCTGTGGCGAGATCTGTCACCCGCTGTGTACCTCGGACACAGCCAATGCTAGATCTGTGTACCGCCCATTGCCAGTACCATGTGACCTGCTGTGACAAATCACAACAGGTCACATGACAGTTGTAAACAATGGATGGCTTCCATTCATTCCATCCATTGTATACAATTGTGTCACTAGCTGTGATCGGTCACAGTGATCACATGCACAGACTGAGTCAATCACAGCCCATCTGTGTCATGTGATTAGCCGTGGCCAATCCCAGCTAATCACAACAAAAAAACCTGAATGAATCAATTTCATTCAATTAAATGCTTGCTTATAGCAAAGAAATTCTTTGATGGTCACGGACCTGCATTGCAATAGAAATAAGATATACCTGTGCTAAAATATAAAAAGTATATAAATACTGTATATATAACCCATCAGGTGCTAAGGGGTGTGAGCACATGTTAACACTATAAATTCTGAATGAACCCTCTGCACACTGCTTTACAAGCTTTCTAGCAAACTCTGCACAAAAACAGGGATTTTTAGTTCACACACATTGCAATGCATGTTTAAGCTGGCCAACTGCGTCAAAGTAATCCCTCTCTGGCCAGTCCCTACTCTGCTCCGCAGAATGCAAATACTCCAGTGAATATAGTGTCAATATGGGGCAAATAGACACAAGCTGGATCAGTGAACCAATTTTTACTGATCACTGTATCAGTGTCGCTGGCAACTTCCGATAGTGTTAGCGCCCCTCCCAGATAGCGCCAGATTGCCCGCCAGTACACCAGTAATCCCGTTTAACCCCTTGATCGCCCCCCCCCCCCAGTTAACCCCTTCACTGCCCTGTCACCAGTGTCACTGATCAGTGAACCAATTTTTACTGATCACTGTATCAGTGTCGCTGGCGACTTCCGATAGTGTTAGCGCCCCTCCCAGATAGCGCCAGATTGCCCGCCAGTACACCAGTAATCCCATTTAACCCCTTAATCCCCCCCCCCCCAGTTAACCCCTTCACTGTCACAAAAATAACAGCAGAGAAAAGCCACTAATAATAACACAAATACTTGTGTCATAATACTATCTCCGTCTCACTTATTATAGAAGTGTGGATTAATAAACCGAGGATTGCGTAATAAAAAATATGGTAGTGTGACAAGAGCAGCACCACCCAGAAAGGAAAGTGGTTACTTAAACATCCACGCGGAGTAATGTAAGCTAAGTAATTACAGAAAATACTTTATTTTGATCACATAGATCATAAGGAGGTTGAACACAAGCACAGTGAACATATCAAACTAAATAAAATCATTTAAAAGCACTAAGCGTCTTCATATCTGGGTAATTTGGGCACAGAGGGAACCATATAAGGCAATAGAATTATCTCGCATAGTTCTCTTAAGTTTACATATAGTCCAGTCTTGTATTTGATTTAGCCATGTAGTCTTCAGACACATTCTTGGTATAAGCCAGGGTATGTAGAGTAACTTCCTGGTGAGTAGAGACTATAACACAAAAAGATGGCAGTCAAAAACTATAAAAAACGTATATATATCACACCAACTCTACCCCATAGACATGAACTGTTGCTCCAATTACCTTCTCAGTAATTTCGCTGTCATACCAGCATGATGAGTGTGGAGACTTCCTGGGTAACCACCCCAAGTGAAAAAAGATCCACAATAACAAGTGATTCTAAGGATATATATAAAATATATAGATCATAAACAACAGGCAGGGTCCCTGAATAAACACAAAAAAATATATGTATGAGGTAAATATTACCATTAGTGATGATCAAGAAGACTTCACGTCGACTTGAAATAAGATCAGGTCCTTTCTGCTTGTTTAGTAGTATATATATTGTATATATTGTTTAGTAGTATATATATGGATGGGAGGCCAGGTAGTCTCAGAGCAACAAAACTTCAAAGAAAAAATAGTATATATATATCGCAGGCAATATATACCTGAAGCTATATACCCACTGAGGGGTTTCCAAAAATTACTCTAGTTGAGATAGCAGAGCCAGATATGAAGATATGAAATTACCCAGATATGAAGACGCTGGCGACTTCCGATAGTGTTCGCGCCCCTCCCAGATAGTGCCAGATTGCCCGCTAGTACACCAGTAATCCCATTTAACCGCTTAATCTCCCCCCAGTTAACCCCTTCACTGCCCTGTCACCAGTGTCACTGATCAGTGAAGCAATTTTTACTGATCACTGTATCAGTGTCGCTGGCGACTTCCGATAGTGTTAGCGCCCCTCCCAGATAGCACCAGATTGCCCGCCAGTATACCAGTAATCCCATTTAACCCCATAATCTCCCCCCCCAGTTAACCCCTTCACTGCCCTGTCACCAGTGTCACTGATCAGTGAACCAATTTTTACTGATCACTGTATCAGTGTCGCTGGCGACTTCCGATAGTGTTCGTGCCCCTCCCAGATAGCGCCAGATTTCCCGCTGGTACACCAGTAATCCCATTTAACCCCTTAATCTCCCCCCCCCCCAGTTAACCCCTTCACTGCCCTGTCACCAGTGTCACTGATCAGTGAACAGATTTTTACTGATCACTGTATCAGTGTCGCTGGCGACTTCCGATAGTGTTAGCGCCCCTCCCAGATAGCGCCAGTTTGCCCGCTAGTGCACCAGAAAAATCCCATTTAACCCCTTGATCGCCCCCTCCCCCCCCAGTTAACCCCTTCACTGCCCTGTCACCAGTGTCATTGATTACAGTGAACAGATTTTTACTGATCACTGTATTAGTGTCACTGGTGACTTCCGATAGTGTTAGCTCCCCTCCTACATAGCGCCAGTTTGCCCGCTAATGCACGGGATTTTTTTTACCAAAAACATGTAGCAGAATACATTTTGGCTTAAATTTATGACTAACTTTGAGTTTACGATATATTTTTTATAGCTGAAAGTAGAAAATATTGTTTTTTTTCAAAATTTTCGTGGTTTTTTTGTTTATAGCGCAAAAAATAAAAAGCGCACAGGTGATAAAAATACCACCAAAAGAAAGCTCTATTTGTGTGAAAAAAAAGAAGTTAATTTTGTTTGGGTGCAGCATTGCATGACCGCGCAATTATCATTTGAATTAGTGCAGCGCCAAACAGCAAAAAATGGCCTGGTCATTAAGGGGGGTAAATCCTCTGGGGCTCAAGTGGTTAAATATCCTGCCTGTCTGCCCATTTTTTACCTAAATTCCACTTTAAGCTGAGTACACATGGGCCAAAAACATTTGGTTTGGCAGGAACAGGTCAATTTCAGCCCGTGTGTACAACTCTCGGTCCGGCAGAAGGTGGCGTCTGTCACACAGGCATGCTGCAAAACCAGCATCGGATCAGCACCGGCAGCCAGGGTTGAATGAAAAAAAAACTGAACATGTGTACCCAGCTTTCCATTATTTTATGGTGGATTCAGACGTAGCTCTTCAATATACTTTCTTGTTCTTTGTAGTGAGCAAACATTTCTTTGATGGGGAGATTGTCACCATAGCGATTCAGGAGTCTGTAGCAAAGGTAAATACCTCCAACTACAAAAATCACAAAGACCACGCCCCCAATCCACAGCCACTTAGAAAAGAAGACTACACTGTCCTGGATCCACCCTCTGTCATTAATGTGGTCGTCTGGGGATGATTTTTTCTGGTCATCATCCACTTGCTGATCTTCATCGTTATACATAACCTGAGCCCCATCATTATCTGTGGATGCAGAATCATCTAGTCCAGTCTCCTGATAGTCGTTCACTTCCTGAACGCTCTCCTCCATGCCGTCCATGCCGGCCTCTTTAACTCGGTCATGCTCCATGCCGGGCTCTTTCATGACCCAATCTTCCATGCCGGGCTCTTTCATGTTCTTCTTCTTCAAGCCCCCCTTTTCCTCCATAGCTTTCTCCATCACTCCTTCCTTTTCTAATCCCTTCTTAGTCTTCAGGTTTGTCTCCTGGAAGCCCTTTCTCCTCTAAGGCCTCCTTCATTAAGCCTTTCTCATTAAGATTTTCCATGTCTAATTGTGTTCTGTCCTCCAGTCTCCCCCTGTACTGAAGGGGGACAGGTGCTGCACTCGCCTCTGATATGAAAAAGCTGAGGAATAGCAGTAGAATCACTTTTCTAAACATTTCCAACACACGCTTCAGAACTACGTCTGAACTGTAGGAACGTCAGAAGAAAATGAGAGACAAGACTGCAGCGCCAGCCTAACAGACTCAGCGTGATGACATCACACTGTTCACTGCTGTTGCTGTCTCAAGTCCTGCCCACAGGGCAGTTTTTCAAGCCCCCCCCCCCCCACAGGGCTGTTTCAAGCCCCCCCCCCCCCCCATCATATTTTGAGTATTTGTTTCCTATCAATTAGAACCAGTGGCAATAAATGACATTATATATACATACAGTCTGTCTATTTCTGTATGTCTCTTGATATTATCATTCCGGACTCCGGGCGAGCCTCCCAATCACACTGAGCAGGTGTCGCACATCAGACAGGCATGCTGCAAAACCAGCATCGGATCAGTATCGGCAGCCAGGGTTGAATGAAAAAAAAAATTGAACTTGCGTACCCAGCTTTCCATTATTTTATGGTGGATTCAGACGTAGGTCTTCAATATACTTTCTTGTTCTTTGTAGTGAGCAAACATTTCTTTGATGGGGAGATTGTCACCATATCGATTCAGGAGTCTGTAGCAAAGGTAAATACCTCCAACTACAAAAATCACAAAGACCACGCCCCCAATCCACAGCAACTT